GCGTTTCCCGTATGGTGGTGAAGTAGGAGTATGGGGCATGCCTTTAGCAATTGAGAGCCTACTTACTGTTAGTCGTATAGAACATGTCAGATGCAATGATTCATGATGCATTGCTTGTATGTCATGATTTACATCAAGATTTTGTAAGCTATCTCCCATGTTTCTATCGGTTCGGGCCACGTTCGTGCCCTTTCCGGCTAGTTTATGACGTCATGCAAGCTGAAACGGAAGAACTCGAAGACAGGATCCAGCGTCGGTCGCTGTAACCGCCATGGAATGTTGCAGTGTCGGGGTCTTAAAGATCAGGCTCCTGGCACCACGCGGAGCTCATAAGCGATCTTTTGCTATATAGAGAAATGCAGCCTTTATTCCAAGTTTCTGAACCCGAGGTCGGGCAAACCCACTGCCAGCCGATCACAGTAAGGGCATGGTGCGTGGGCAGACTACTTACTTTGGCCGCACAATCAGGAGACGAATCTTAACTCCTACTCGTACCACTACCATTAAATTATGACATACATATTAATACTAACTACTGGTCCTTGTATGTACTAGTACTAGTAACAGTCATCGTAATCACGGTATTAACGACAATACATAGCAATCGTAATAGTTCTGGTTTCGGACGCTGAAACGGCGCATCGACACGTTTGCTGACTCCTGTCGTATTTGCCGTGCGGTAATAGCTCTGCGGGCTACGGCGGCTGCGGCATTGTCAGGACGAGCATCTGTTGCCAAGATTTAGGCTTTAGGGCTGGTCGTCGGAATACGGTCCAGCTCGAGGTCTTTACTGCGACTGAGCCATCGTGCAAACCAGCGCCGTAAATGAAGACTACTTCTAGAACAACCGGAAAACCCTAAACCCCTCAACCCTGAGCATAGAACTAGCAGAACTAGCAAAAACCCCATGATGGGCTTCTAGAACAACCGGAAAACCCTAAACCCCTCAACCCTAAGCCTAGAACTAGCAAAAACCCATGATGGGGTCCTTCTAAGATGCTGTGGGTTTTCGGGCCCCTTTGGGCCAGCAATGGTACCAGCAACACTTCTTTTAACCCAAAGGGTCCAAGTAATAGTATGGTATCTACTTTAGGCGCGCTAGTATATACCTAAGTACCCACTATATTGGTACTTAGACCATTTGGGTAATACTCATCATAGAAGCTTATTTATTTATGATAACCCCACACTACTACGTACGAAGTCTTTTGATGGGCCTCAGTCACCCATTAAAGCCCATGGACAGAACTTTCGAATCTTTGTGAAGCAGACTGTATCACAAGTGTCAACACTGTTGCTGCTACTGCTGCAATGTACACCATGTTGGTTGGCATAAGCACGACAGACCCACGGCCAGCTGCCGTCATACAGTGACTATCCTCAACCCTCAGTGCATTAAAGTCGAGACCATCTTCGACCACTGTAAGCATAAAGCCTAAAGTCCCCACAAGTCTTAAGCCCTGCATGAGCTTAAGACCCTGCACCCCTAATTCTCAACCCCGAACCACATGTTATCGGGTTTCTAAACTAGCATATGGAGATCCGCAACAGAACCAAAAACGGACTCACCTCACCAAAGGAGTCCACTTCCCACTCACCAACACTCCTGAAGGGGGATTTCTTTGTGGGGGTGTTCTGAGTCAGGGGAGGTGGGGGAGGGCGGAGGGTTGCCGGAAGGCGGGGGGTTGGAGGGGGCGCCGGCGCACTGCACATAACAACCCTAAGCCCTAAACCCTAAACCCCTAAACCCTATAACTATACTGAACTTAGAACCCTAGCAAAAATTATAATTTCAGCTGTTTCTTAGGGATTATCATAACCAACAAATTAAACAAAAACTATTTCTAAGTACCCCTGAGATAAGGTCATCGCATGCCCGGCCGCAGCCGCAACGGATCCTAGTGGCCGAAGGCTCCTGAAAGCTTCCTTCTGCCGGCTCAGGGGTCTTTAACCAATTTGAAAGACTATTAGTATTAATATTAGTATTGGTAATAGTTGTAGTATTAGTATTAGTATTAGTACTAGTATTAGTAATAGTAATAATATTATATTAGTTCTTATACACTGATTATACTATCATATGCCCAGAATCCGGCCTAACGATGTAGGCCTTTATGTCGTTGCACAACCTGATTCTCGCTGCTGTACTGCTGGCACAAGCAGTTTTTGTCGAGGTATCGTCGTTGCTGCGGCATGTCGCTGGTAGCTTGGTCATTAGTGCTGATAGAATGGCGATTCACAGTGGTGGTAGTCTGTGGTAATGCTCTAAACCCTAAACCAAAAAAAAGGCCCCCGAGCTCTGCTCCATGTCAGACTCAGACACAGGATCCCTCACCGATGGGTCTTCGCGACGTGTAGGGCCTGGCTCGGAGGCTCTCTGGGGGTGGTTTAGGGGTTTAGGGTTCAAGATTCAGGGTTCAGGGTTTAGGGTTCGGGGTTTAGGGTTTTGCCAAACCCCTGAGTCAAGCCCTATCTTCTTGGGTGTTCTTTACAAGGAGCTCACAATTCAGGAGCCCAAAACAAGTCGCTTTGATTTCAAAAAAGGGATGTTGGGGTTTCGGGAGCTTGAATGGGTGGAGTGAGCCTTGGCTTCAACCCTTCGGATTTCGTGGTACGGCCCTGAACCCTAAACCCTAAACCAAACTCCGCCCAGCAAAAGACCCCTTGGCGGCCCAGGGGACTTGTAAGTAGGTTATAAGTAGGGTTTTTCTTGGGGTAAATCCATTCAGGGTACTTGTAACCCGTAGACTTATAACCTACTTACTGAGTCCCCTGGGCCTCCAAGTAGAGAGGGAATCTCGCGTCTGGCTCTGAGCTTTGAAGGCTTAGGTCTCCGAAGGAAGGCATGTCGTCTGTCCCGTGTCTCTCTTCCAACCTCGCTGTCCCTACTCTGCCTCGTCTTCTGTTCTATCGTAGGGCCCTCCGTCTATAGATCTGTTATACACTCGGACACGCCAGGGCCCAAATCCTACTGTGATGGAAGGCCAAAGGGGGGGTTTAAGATTCTTGGGGTAGGGATTCCTTAATATGAACCCAATTATGGGAACCCTAATCCCTACTAAACCCCCATAGGCTAAAACCCCTTCTGGCCTCCTATGATACCCTTATAGATCCCTTTAAAGGAACCCCTATAGATCCCCTTAAAGGAACCCTAGGGATCCCTAACCCCTATGATACTGGACGTCCCATCGCTTAGTTGTTGATTTGCTATGTGGGCCTTGGTAGTTGGACCAGGGCCGACTAGTGTTCCGGGGTCTACTATTATCTATAGCGTACTATATCATACTGTACTATACTGTACTCTCTATAGACATATATATATATGTGTATATAATAACTTTCTTGAGGAATCCGAAAGGAAAATAATGGAAATGATTCAGGCCCCAGTATGATCCTACTCAAAAGCCTGGACCTCCACACTCGCCGAAACCCTCAGCCATACCCAGAGAGCCCAATACCCCTTAATCTAGGAATATAGCTTAAACCATAACATGAAGCCCTATGTAATTTAAGCCATATTCCTGAATTGAGTCTTCTTTTGCAGAAAAGCCGTGGACGCCCGAAACCCCAAAGCCCATTAGTTAACTTGCACCACACCAGCCGAAGCCAAAAGCTACCCAACTCACTGAAAAAATCAGCGGTCGACTCCGTGCCGGCCTTCGATCTCGCCGGGAAGCTACCTCGCCGTTGCTGCGTAGGGTGTGGGGAGTCGGCTTCAGGGCTTCAGGGAGTGGCTGAGTATAGGCTTTAGTAGGCCCCCCAAAAAGGCACATAAGCAAAAATTAGGATAGGGATATCCCATATAAATCCCCTTATAATGAAGCCCAGAAAGGTAGGGATATCCTTGTAAAATGCTTATGCTTATGTGCTTTTTGGGTCCCTAACTTAGGGCTTCGGGTATGGGACTGAGGGCTCCTGAGTCTGACTCATTCGAGGAACATGAGAGTTTCCGAAAATGGGGGTACCTTATTTTGGGGTCCTTATATCCCCAAGGGTCCAAAGGACCCAATAATCAGGTACTCGGTTTTGGGATAGTAGTTACGTAGGTTCGGATTTTGGAGAGTATATGATTATCAGGTACTTGGACCCTTGGGGGTAATAAGGAAACTACTATTTAAGGTACTGTACCAGGGTCCCCTATTTTCGGAAACTCCCACATGGAGAGCAGAGAACTACTCGTACATCTCCGCTGAGGTGCGAATATAGGGGCCGTCATTATTATTACGACTATTACTATTATTCTTATTATTATTATTATTATTGTTTTTATTATTATAGGCGTTAGCTGTGGGGGCCCAATATACTATAGTTAGAATACGAACCCTGAAAAAAGTGCTGGTAATTCTTCAAGGCCCCTATGTTATGATGCGGGTCCAGGGCTTTAGGGTCAGGGCCTTGGGCTTGGTCCGTTTGGGGCTAATCATTTTTGGCTAATAGGACTTCTTGACAAAAGCTCATCCCGAAGCCCAACGCCCCAACCGGTTTAGGGTTTAGGGTTTAAGGTTTTCTGAACTTACCTTTGGTTAGTAGGGAATGGAAGAATGGTAGTAATAGTAGTTATAGTTGTACCCCATTCCTCCATTCCCTACTGACCAAAGGTAAGTGAGTCGATCGAGCCTGAAACGCAAACAAGTACGGCACCGGATACGGTCGGCACCGGATACGGTCAGACACGCCTTCTAGGCCTTAAAACGTCAATCACTAGAGCCGGAGAGCTGAACAGAGCCGGAAGAGGGTTTAGGGTTTAGGGTTTAGGGTTTAAGGTTTGGTACAAATCCCTAAACCCAGAACCCTATTGTTTAAGATGGCTGGGGCCGGCTACAGAGCCATTTGACGGAAACAGCACACCAGCTACGAACTATATGGGGGCCTTGGTATTTAGCATAGGGGATTTGTTCAATGAATATGCTTACTAGTGATTCTGATCCGCATAGTACAGGCCTCAGACCCTATGGAGACCCTAAGCACTATGTTTAGGGTCTAGGATTTAGGCTAAGGGCTCAACCATCCTGGCAACGGAGGCAACTTTGAAAATTAGCTTGCACTCAGAAAATGCAAAACTAAGGTGCTGAGTGCATAAGCCGCAAAAAGTGTACACTTTCAGTTTTATAGGTGGTGTATTATCCCAAAAAGTGTAAAGTGTATCCACTCAGCTACTAAAAAAGCGTTCCCAATCATCTGGGCAAAGTTTTTTGTTTTTTAAAGCCCTCTTTTCCAACCGGCCAAAGGTTAGCCGAAAGGCCAGATCTGACTGAGGGGTGGATCGGGAGCCGTTAGAGGGGATTCCCACCACACCACTGGGCAAAGGTTTGAGGTTTAAGATTCCGGGTCAAGGGCTTGCGTTCCTGATCTAGAACAAGAGAGGGCTTAGGAGATACGCTTCGGATGTTGAGGTCACGGTTGAATCGAAGAGCTTCGGATGTAAACTGAGGGTAATATGTAACATGCCCCTGTCGTTTAGCCCGCTCGCGCCTGACGCCGCAGCATGGAGAATACTGCCTCGCACTCTAAAGCTTAACTAGGAGGTGCTTTTAAAGCCTTCGGAAAAATACTAGTAGGTAAGATCCTCAAGCCAATAAGAGCAAATATAAAATGTCCCAGAGCCCTACCTAGCTAGTTTTCGGAAACTCTAAGCCCTAAATCCTAAATAGAACCCTTATAGATCCCTTTAATAACGAACCCTTTGGGATCGTGGTTTAGGTTACGTAGGGTCTAGGAGCCCTTTGGAGGGCTTGGCAGCTGCCAGGTGTTCAGAGCCAAGCCTTACGGTGTCGTTTTTCTTGAGCCTGTTCAGGTCCTTCTTGCAAGAAGCTATAACCTACGAGCGCAGATGTGGTGGGATGAGTACCACAAGTTTAAGGCTTATCTACTTCTGTACGGTTTGAGGAGCAGTAAGCCACTCCTAGCGCCACTAAGGGCTTTGGGCTTACGGGTCTCGTCTGCCTGCTTTTACTTTCACAGCCCGCGACTTTAGCACGATCGTCTAACTAGGCCGCATGCCTCCAAAAAGCCGTGTCGCGTTATCGGGGCATATCGGGGCATTCATGGGCAACGGTTGTTCGGAGTGTGGGCGGGCGGGGCCGGGATAAGGATGTGAACTTCAGCGTGGTCAGGCCTCCAGGGTTCTCATTTTCATGTTGTTGGGGTTTAGCGTTTCGGGTGTAGGGGTAAGAGTTTAGAATTGAGGATTGAAGATTCAGGACATGTCGACGATAAGACCAAATCCTATGACCCAAAAGCCAATCCCCCTATACCCCAAACCCCTACACGCTAAGCCTGAAAAACCCTGACCGAACCCCTAAAACCAAAAACCTCAAATCCAAGTAATTACCGCCGAAGTTGGAGCCTTGGCGAAGCGCTTGCGCAAGGACGGCGTGGCTCCACCGTCTGCCTTACTGAGTTCGAAGTACTGGGTTTAGGGTTTAGGGTCTGCCATCCCGCGACACCCCCCCCCCCCCACAAAAAAAAAAACGGCCTCAGGGAATTGAGGGATTAAAGATACGGTGCAAATCTACAGAGCCACCATGCGCAGAGTGCAGTTGGAACTTGTCCAGAGGCTCGCCTGGCTGGCGGGAGCCTCGAAGCCTGAACAAAAATAAAATCAACAGTTGCAGTTACATCTTAATTATTGCGGTTATTGAATATAACACATAAATATGCATAATATTACGTTTGTTGTTACGTTTGAAACGGCGCCAGGAAACAAGTGTAGATGTATAGCACATCAGACCAGCGTCTGTATTCCGATTTTCTCGGAGCCTGCTGTAAAGGAGGACACCGGCAGCCTGATCTGAGTTCTTCTTAAGGAACTTATGTTCAGCTACCATTATGGTTCAGTTACCATAATGGGATTAAGGGTTTAGGGTAGGGATCTATAATAAACAATAATACATATGGTTTCCGTTCTATGGTAACCGAAATTAACCCCCTAACAGTTCAGCTACCATAAATACGGTTTAGGGTTTAGGGTTTAGGGTTTAGAGGTCTATAATATGGTTTCCTTATTATGGTAACCTAACTTAGCCCCCCTAACAGAGCCCAGTGATAGACTGTCAGTCGAGTCACGAAGACCTCTCTGAGAGTCTTCAAGCCAGGAAGCTTCGACCCCCAAGCCCCTTAACCCAAAATCCTAAAGGGTTCCTTAAAAGGATCTATAGGGCTCCTTAAAGGGATCTATAGGGTTCCTTAAAGGGATCTTTAGGGTTTAGGGTTTAAAGGGAACTCCAGAAAGTTGGAATATGGTTTCAGGGCAGGATACCCTATAATTTACCATAAAGGGTTTAGGAGAATCATATTCCAACTTTCTGGCTTTCACTTTAAGCCCCTAAACCCTAAACCCCAAAGCCCCGGATGGATAACATCCAGAACTCAGACTATCACCGCGACAGAGCTCGTGGTCTCGATCCTGAAAGAAACCCTCATTGCAGTGAGATGCCTTTTGATGATGGTTGATCTGGACCAGCTTCACTTTGCCCACTGTAACATCCATAGCCTGGAGGCGCAGTCTCCATTTCTAAAACATGCCGAACCTGTCTCGGCTCACATGGCTGCTAGATCCTAGACAATTCCAGACTCGCACAGATTTGCAGATCGATGTGAGCCTCTTGCGATCTCTGTGCTCTTGACAGAGAGTAAACAAAATCAGAAAAATCCATACGGGCCTTGCAAGGTCTTATTGGGATCTCGTGCGGTTTGAGAAGTGCTGGTTCCGATTTATAGGGACCTGATGTGGAGCCTGCCATGACTGAGGCATCGCGTTTAAGCAACCCCTACACCCTAAAGCCCTCAACCCCTAAAGCCCTAAACCCCTAACCCTAAATCCTCTAGGATGCAAAGAAGGGCTTGTCTCGCACTCGGGACCCCTCGATAGGGATCCTTCAAAAAGGACGCAGGTGTTTTCTGAAACTCGGAAGGGGTCTCTTTTGTGCGGGCTTTGGGTAAGGGCTGCTAGTTCGTTTGGGGAGGCTTGTGCCAAATTCCTTGCACCTAGGAAAAGTCGTCGTTCTCCTTCTCAATGACCCACTTCCGTCCGAGGTAGAAAGATTGCAGAAGGGACTTGGTCATGGAGAGAGGATAATGTAGGAATGCAGGGGCCTTAATATTTAGAATAGGTTTTCGGGGTACCTATACTGGACTGTATATATAAGAAGGAACCCCAAGGAAGGACAATGCTGGTGCTTATTGTGGCTTCCGTGGTAACTGCGACTGACCACGGAAACCTGATGCGCAAGACAGAGGATGTCTAAGTTTGAAGAGTTGACAGATATTGAAACTGACCTGGGAACCCTCGTAGATACTCTGACTGAACAAAACTGACATCCACACAGGGGTAAAACCCCTCACGGAATCCTTATAGCAGCCGTTACGTAGCAAAACAACGAAACCCCGAAAAACTATTATGGAACCCGTGTAGCACCTTCAAGTAGCCATACAGGAAACCTATCCTAAACCCTAAACCCTAAACCCTAAACCCTAAAACCCTAAAACCCTAAACCAAATGAAAGCCATCCCGCCTCGCACTCGTCAGCAGAGGCGAGGAGCTTGGCCATGGAGTTACGATCCTGGACGCCTGATGCGTGGAATACTTCGGCTCCCTAGTAGTTCCTTTTTGGGATTACCTTGTAGGATTCTAAATATGAACCCCAAAAGGAACTACTATGGAGCCTATCCCAAAGGGTCCTATGTACCGATATAGTAGAATGTAGGGTCTCCATCTTAGGAATTACTATTATGACTTAGGGAAGTATGCCCCATAACAGTACATAGGACCCTTTGGGGGAATACTTCGGGAGGGTGGATTCGTTGATTAAAGAAGGGGCTGAGTTCTCTGAAAAAAACGATGGGTTCTTTGTTAACGGGGCTGAGTATCCTAGCCCAATTCAAGGTTACCCTGTTCAGTTTTGGTAGGATTACATGATTATATACACCCCAATAGGTTAACAATGCAAAGCGTGGACCACAGCCGAAACCGCGTTCCTTGAGGATTCACGGCCATGATGGTGCTGCCGTCGGGGAACTTCTCGCACACGATGACATTGCCCTCCTGCAAGAGCTATGTGGATCGGCCGATATCCGTTCGAGATCTGTGGATGGTAAAAATGTTCGTCCTCAGCGACTAAAATTTGGAGCACAGTGGGATTGACGACCCAAGCAGTGATCACAAAAGAATTCGATGCAAACAAAACTCAGACCGGGTCCAATAATCGAAATCTCAACTGCAGCCCTGAAATCCAGCCCGGGCCTGAGTCTCAAGCACAGCATAGAAGTGGCAGTAGTCAAGGCGCTTGCTGGACCACTTCCTTACTTGGTTCGGAGAGGACGCAGCGACGCAAAGACTTGAGTACCTGAATTCGTGCTCTTAGCCTTCGTGGGTTTGCCCAATCGTCTTCACCAAAAAGGAAAGAGTGTAAGACGAAAAGAACGCAGGGCTTTGATGCAAAACAACTTTAGCTTCAGGCTTCAGGGTTTAGGGTCTAGAATCATAAGGTTCCAAGTAGACAATTGCACTTCGTAAACAAAATCTTTGGGGTGTCTGGAGTGTGAGGGCCTCCTAAAGATTGCCTGATTTTGGAATCGGCCCCAAATCGCCGCTGTAAGAGGCGTGCAAAGAAGCATCCTTAACCCTTTAATCCCTCGACCTTCAACATAACCGAGTCGGGTTGAGAGGTCTAGCATTTATAGGGATTTTAAACCTAAAGCCATGACAGCAGGACCCTGCATAAATATGCAAACTACAAGCTACTCGGGATGCAAGACAGACTAGACTTCCCAATGGCCGGCTTTGCAGCACCAGCGGCGAATCAAGCTGCCGGGCGGACTCTGCATCCAATGCCTCCGGTGGTGCCAGTTAGTAGCGGAGCATCACCCCACATGGAAGCTATGTCCTGTTCAGTGGAGTCATAGAGGCTTCTGAGGCTCATGCACGGTTTGGAGGAGCGATGATGCGAGATGCCCTGACCATGACGACCCTGAAGCAATGAAGCAGAGCCACCGCACGACAACGACGACCCACGAAGGCACCAACAGCACGGCAAGACCGACAACCTTCAACTGAACGAATCCTTAAGCCCATTTCTAGCCCTGAACTAGACCTTTCTGCTTGGCCGGCTCGGGATCGAAATTGACGATATAGGAGCCTCAATACTTCGAAAGGCCTTGCTTTAGCTGCTTTGTGACTGGTGCTAGAAGCTTTTAGGATTTTGTTAATGTAGGCTTAGGGGTCTGGCATAGGGACCATGATGATTGGAATGGCCTTTGTTGAGGGGCACAATATAGCACATAGGAACACCAAGGCATACCACGGACCATTACTCAAGCATCAGTACTAAATAGTTAAGACTACCACTACTAACGGGAAACCTGTCCAAATCAAGCCCCAAATCAAGATGCATGGTTACGTTAAGTCCTGCAACGGTGCCAGTAAGGCTTTAGGGTTTCGGGGTTGAGAGTTTAGGGACGTCTGCAGTCAGAGGCTATCTGTCTGCAATGTCAGGATGCGCAGTTCGGGAAGCTGAGGAGTCAGCGCTTCCGGGCTGGATGGTGAGTTTAAGTAAATTTGGACTTTGCTGTTAGGCTAACCTGAACTCTGAACATCATCTTCCGGCAGTAAAACAGCACCTCAGCGTAGATCTTGCCCCTCGCGATCTTCTCATCATCGCGCACCGGCTTGCCTATTCCCAGTTTTGAAGAACTGCGTGCGACACTTAATGGTTAAGTGCAAGCACGTTGTAAAACAGCAACCACAGAGTTATGGTAGATCTGCCAACAAATAGAAATAGCACCTGAACATTTCTCGATAATGAGGAATGATAATGATAGTCATAGCATGATAGCAGTCCGAAGCATACCTGAAATCTCGAAGATGGGTCCAAATCAAGCAGCATATGGCATACAGTAAACCCCATAAAATTGGAAACTGGATTAAGGCCAAATAGTGCTGGGATTCCCTATGCATTAATTACTCTTAAAGATTGAGGCTATTGGGTTTCCAACTTTTTGGCTTCTACTGTACTCTACTCTTCTTGAAAGCTTCGGGTTCGCAAAGGTTGTAGCCGTTCCTGACGCCTCGGAACTTACAGTGCGCTACCGGTGCATCGGGTATGGCTCGTGCAAATGTGAGGTTCCAAAAAGGCACATAAGCAAAAAATAGGACAGGGATATCCCATATAAGCCCCCATATAATGAAGCCCAATAAGGTAGGGATATCCCTATAAAATGCTTATGTTTATGTGCTTTTGGGGTCCCTAAAAATAGTTCTCTGGCACTGGCCAGCATTCTTGGTACATATGGTCATGGAAATATAGACATCGGAGTTGGTACCCAGTAGCACATTCCTCGGATGATGGGCTCATGCAGCAATGAGACCGAACATGACACCAACCCGGACGAGCCACGATAAAGCCTGCAATCTGCAAACCACAGTAAACAAGCCCAAGACAGAAGCCATCAGCCCTACACGCGCTGGATCAATACTCCCTGAGGGCAAGTCTTATAAAATAAACAATATGGACATGATTAGGTTGAACTGGAGCACAGCAGATGGGGGCTGCCTTCCGGTGATCTGACCTAGCTCTGTCAGTGCCTTCTCGGCTGGAGAGATTCCAGGAGGGCGCACGCAAGGAGAAGACCACACCAACCTCGGTTTGTTGTTGCTAGTCGCGAACCGCCTCGTGTAGTGAAGAACCATAGCAAGCCGTAGTAGTCTTGCTGCTGCCGGTGCCACTGCTGATCCACTGGTGCTGTCGTTGTTGTCGCTGGAAGTGATGCTGCTGCTGCTACTACTACTCCTGCCGCTGCCAGCGTCGCACTCAAAGTGTCGTGCGGGGTCTTGCCGCAACAAGAATTGCACACGAAAGCCCCATTGTCACCCCCTTCCTGAAGGTCCGGCCACAAACTCTGGACAGTCTAAGCTGAATAAATCCTGGGACATCTCCGTCCACGAGTCCACCTGACCTCACCCTAGATGCGCGAATCCACCACTCTTAGTTGCTGAGTTCATAAGCCCCCAAAAGGAGTTTTATAGTGGGGTCATATTGTCCCCAAAAAAGTAAATTGTATCCACTGAGCTACAAAAAAGTGTAAAGTGCATCCACTCAGCTGCCAAGCACTACATGCCTCAACCGGCCCAGGGACCCGCGGGACCCTCACAGCCCTGGGCCCTCTCAGCTGCAGAGCACACGAGTCTGCACACCTTCGCCTCCAATCCATGAAGGTCTAGTGCTCAGGGTTTAGGGTTTTGGGCTCAAGGTTTAGGGTTTGGGATTTGCATCTCAGGGCTTAGGGTAGGGGACCTAAACCCTAAACTCTAAACAGGTTTGTGCTTATGGAGTTCAGGGTTCATCCGAGCCGCTGCTTCTGAGCCACCAAGCTCCTGGTTCGGCAAGGGCTCTGGCCCTGAAGGTTTAGGGTTTAGGGTTGATAGGGGTCTGAATAATTAGAATATGGGAGTTTCCGAAAATGTGGGTACCTTATTTTGGGAGTCCTTATAGTAAGGATCCTACTATTTAGGGTACTATATTAGGGTCCCCTATTTCCGGAAACTCCCATATAGTAATGTAAGGTTCCTTTAAACGGCTCATTTGAGGAATACTACAAGGGCTATTGTAAGGAATAGGCCTCCTTTAAACGGCTCATTTAAGGAATACTATAAGGGCTATTGTAAGGATTAAGTATAATCTTAGAAACCTGTTGCTGGTCCAGTTTCCTAAAGGCTCTAGACACTAAAGATCTGAGAGGCTAGTCTTTTAGGGTACCTTGAGATTTCTACATCCACAAAAGGTTTAAGGTCACTTACGGCCGTTGGGGCTTGCTATAGGGCTTTTCAAACCCTTGCGCTAGCTCTCTATGATGAAGAAAGCTTAAGGCCCCTTTAAGCTTTTAACTAGGTTGAAGGTTTGGTGCCTTTTGCAAGGTTTCATATGGGTAGTCGTCAAAATTAGGGTCCCTTTTTGGGTACCCGAAATAATAGCTGCCGTACTAGAATAGGGACCCCACAGCGGGACCAGAATTCTAACAACCACCCATATGGTTTCGTCTCTCCTTAGCTTTGTGGAGGACAGGCCTTGAAAGACGAGGATCCTCTACGTGGGACCAGACCGGGGTTTGCTTACTATAAGGGATCTATAAATTTTACTATAATATTACTATAAGGGATCTATAACTTTACTATAATATTACTTTAAGGGATCTATAATTTTACTATAATATTATAGGGGACTAAATGATCCTATAACTTACCTTTGGTTAGTAGGAAATGGAGGAATGTTACACGGCGGTCCTGGATGGTGCGCACTTCGAGGTTGCCGAGGCGGTAGATGCGGAAAGTGTGCCCATCCTGTGCAGTGGATTTTGGAGCAGGGGTGGTGGGGTTGACGGTTTAGGTCTTTAAGGTTCGGGGTTTAGGGATGGAGTGCTTCGGGCTTGGGATACTGTCTCAAGGTTGGGAATTGGGTTGAGGGCAGCCTCGATTCTCTCAAGCCTATTGTTGTATGTTGAGTGCTCAAGGGATCTAACATCAGGGTCGATGAATCAGCACTGCTATCAGTCCCCATATGCCATATGCCTCATCATCATAAACCCAAACAAACTCCAAAAACCAAGACTTGTCCACGGCATATGTTCTTGAAAGTGTCCGTGATCCCTGTCCCCACACGAAGCGGGACTTTAACGACAGTCAAAACCCGAGATGCTAGATTTGACCCCAAACCCTAAGCCCGACACCTGGGCCTCAATTCTTGCTTCCTACACCCACAACCGAAGCCAACTATAGAGAAGTGTTCTCCGGCGAAGAGTTTCGATGCAAAACCATTCGGCTGCATCTAGACTCTCTAGACTCGAACCTCGGAACCCCAAACCCTACGCCCAGTACAAAGCGTTTACGGCTTGGTTACGGGCGTTGGAGCCTTCGAACATTTCATGTGTCTTCGATGTATGCCTTGGGTTGGAGAGTTCGAAAGTTCTGGCGACTCACTTCAACAGTACCTGGAACCTGATTGCACCCCAAGACCCTTCAATCCCCACCCTTCAACGTCCGAGTGACGACTGCAACCCCAGATCCCCCAAGCTGATGCTAGGTTGGCAAGACTGGAACTTGCGATCACCCAGCTCAGGAAGCACATCAGGGTTCACGGTTTAGGGTTGGGCGGCTCAAGGGTGTTTCCTCGGTGCGCCGTGAAGCCTGGCCATGATAGATGTCTTAGACTGCCCCCCCCCCCCCCACCCTGTACTAGTGACTATATGGATTGTATCAGGGTCCTATTATATTCCTATTATACCTCTATTACAGGGTGGGGGGTCCTTCTAAAATGTCTGATGACAGGTGTGCAAATACTTCGAGGCCCAGGGGACTTAGTAAATAGATTATAAGTAGGGCTATAAGTACCCTACTTGGAGTCGCTCCAATTATAACCCTACTTATAACCTTACTAAGTCCCCTGGGCCTCCAAGTATCGACATCCTAGATGCCCTAAACCCTAACCCCTAAACCCTAAACGACCTCCGCTCATGATGGAAAGGTTGCCTCCGTGCACTTGTTGAACTCCGGAGCGGCAGTCGGCAGGATGTCGTTCTTGGTTCCACACCGAAAGGGTTTAGGGGTTTAGGGTTTCCGGGTTTCCGGGTTTCAGGGTTTACATTGGGGCTTTAATGCGTTTAGGGCCCAGTAGAAACTTACCCTTAAGGTCCATGTGCAGCAAAACACCAAGCCCCTTGCCTGAAAGCTCAAAATCTCCTAAATCAGAACCTAGCACTTACTAAGAACCAGAAGCAGCAAAACACAAAACCTAAGCCAAGCTCTCGAAGGCCTCAACCCTAAACACAAGACAGCCTGGGTCTCGAATCCCTGAAACCCTAAACACAGAAAGGCCACTCGGAGGCCCTGGGGACGTAGCAAGTAGGTTATAATATGAGTAGGGATATAATTGGGGCAACTATAATTAGGGTACCTATAACCCTACTTGTAATCTACTTACTACGTCCCTTGGGCCTCTGAGCAGGGTCTCGAATATTGCAACATTGAGATGCACAAGCTGCGACATGGCACAGGGCAGAGTAGAGATTGAAGGATAGAGGGTGTGGCAGTAGGTTCCTTCACGCTCTAATATAGAAGCCTTGGGAAGTACAATGGGGTCTAGGGTACACTATACTACAAAGATACAGGGAATTCAAGGGGAAATTGCTACAAGTAGGGTCCATGGCTGTGGAGGGAGCTACAGCACGTGGTTTGAGACGTAGAACGTATGGATTCGGGGATTGCGTTTGAGGGATTTGGGAAGTTAGGGGATGACAGTTTAGGGTAAAGGGGTACCTGCTTCGCGAAACTCCAACTTGCCTCATAAACTGCTACCAGTACTGGGTTGGCCTTTAAACACCCTGAAAACATTTATATATATATATATATATATATATATATATATAGGGTCCCTTATAAAACCAAATAAGGAAAATAACAAATGGCCCAAAATCCAACCTAGAGTAACTACGAAGTACGAAGCTCGCACTCCTTTTACCCCCGGTGACATGAACCCTGAGTCCCAGAGCGGGAAGCCGAATACACAATCTCCAGCCCTGGATCCCCTAAACCTTGGGTTTAGGGTTCAAGGCTCAGGTTTTAGGGTTTAGGGCTTAGGGCTAAGGGGTTAGGGCTTAGGGCTTAGGGTTTAGGGCTTAGGGTTTAAACCCTTAATCTTAAAAACCCGGGACCCGGAATCTTAAGCACAGAATCTCAAAAAAGCGGCTGGGCCCTCTACTTCATTGCTCCACATCTTGTACTCTCAAAAGAGTTCTTCGACTTCCCTGAGATGGAAGGTGCAGAAAGCATGGGCCCAAACATCTAAATTAAGCAAGTACATGATTACAGAATAAGAGTATAAGTGATATACAGATACATGTTCACGTGTTATCTTTCGACCTACCTACCTACCTGCCTACCTATCAGTCTATCTATGTCTCTGTATTACATGTATGTATATATACACACATACATACATATGTATATACCAGTCTAGTATACTATGCCAGGCTAGGAGCTAGAAGAGCCTGCTGAAAGGTCGCATCGACCTGCGCTTGCAGTTTTGGGGATTCTAGGGCTCCTGGGAGGGTTTACCCATAGGCCCCAAAGTAGTTCCTTTTTAGGGTTCATATCTAGAATTCTATAAGGTAGTCCCAAAAAGGAACTACTTTGGGGCCTATGGCTAAGTGGCTTGTGGGATGAAGTAAAGGTGTTGAATCTTGAACGCCTTTTTTCACCCATCCCTGCTGTCCCCAAGGGTTTTAGGGTTTAGTGCTTTGGGATTGAAGGGGCTTTGGGGTTTTGGTTTCAGGGTTTTTTAGGCTTGAAGGGGCGTCTCGGGTTTGGGGTTTGGCGTTTCAGGTCTTTGGGGTTTGGGGCTTCTGGACTGACAGCTTTGGGGTTTAGGTGTTCGAAACTTTTACGGGTTAAGGGTTGTCATTTCGAGTTCAGGGCTTTGGGTGCACTGCAACATTATAGGATTTAGGGGCGTAGGGTTTCGGAAGTTTGGGGTTTACGGCTTGAGCATGCGGGAATTTTAGAATCATCGACAGACTGCCAGAGTCAACGAAGATGCAAACTTCAGCCCCATTTCCTAGTTTGGAGAGCCACAGGGGCAGCTAGGTCGCTCCGTCACCTACAACCATGTACAGACTGTGAGAGTGACTGTGATCACAATACACAGCGATCTGCATCGCAATCGTTGTCACAGCCACTACAACATCATCGCCGCTACTTGGGCTTCTCAGCTGCGAGCCGTGGGACTTAACATCATCATCAACATCATCATAAGCATAACTGGCATCATGGCCGTAGGTGGAAAAGTCACCCCCACTGTCATCATCATCACCACCACCATTTCATTCTTATTCCTTTTTTAAGCAGCAGCAGAATGACCTTCACCACCATCAAGGTCATCATCGTCATTGCCAACGTCACCACCATCGCTACGACCGTCATCACCATGAGAATAAAAATCACCTTCATCACCATCACTATTATCATCATCTCTCACCATCACGATCATCAGCACCATATACCATCATAATCGACATCATTTTTGTCGCCGTGTCAGCATCGCACATGTGAGAGTATCTACCATGATTCGGCAATGGTGCTGCCGTTAGGAAGAACACAGAACAAACTCTAACAAACAACAGAGCCTCATTGGCTGGTACAGGGCTTGGGGGTATAGCCGGTATAGCTGACTTCAAACGTATGGCAGTTGTACAGCATGGATACACTCGCTTTCATCGACTATGCTAGAAGCTAACCCTAGGGATCTAAGGACTCATATATTAATTCAGGCTTTTGGGCCCAAAGGCCATACTACACAAGGCTTTTGGGCAATTTAATTTTGATCCCTAGGGTAACAACTTGGAACATGGGGCATAGGATGATGTATGCTGGCTGTCCGTGTTTGCGTCGGGGTGTCTTTATTGAGGGGAGTATGACATTCCAACTACTGTAGCTTGTTTCGACTGTTACTACGGGCGCCTTAACACTTGTAGTAGGGGTTTTGGTGTGTCTCGGGATATCGTTGCGGACCTAACCCTAAACCCTTAAACCCAAACCCCCCCCAAACCCTACACCCTGAACTGAAATCCGCCTGGAGCTCCACCAATGCGGAATTCATCCTCTTGAGGGCTTCTGGAGAGCAACCGTTGTCCTCGGCTCGGTTTGAGTTTAAGGCTTCGGGTTCAGGGCTAAGGGCTTCGGGTGTTAAAGGGCTTGGGGTTTCGGCTTTAGGCCTTGCCAGACAGGGTTTACAAGTCTCTAAAAATTTAGAAGTTTCCGAAAGTTAGGGGTACCTTATGTAGGGGTCCTTATAATAAGGACCCTACTACTTAGGGTACTATATTAGGGTCTCCCTAAACCCTAAACCCTTTATGGAACCCTTATAGATCCCTTGAAGGAGCCCTTTAAAGGAACCCTAGGGTCCCCTATTTTCGGACTCTCCCACATATTATCGAGTGCGGGCATGGCACCACCTTGAAGCCAGATGTCCATGAGCGTGGGAAGTCGCAGCCAGCGTTGCCTGGGTGCAAGTTTAGGCTTTAGGGTTTAGGGTAAGGGTTCGGTATAGGGTTTAGGGGTTTGGGCTTTTTGGGTTTTAGGGGTTTATGGTTTAGGGTTTAGGGGTTTAGGATTTAATGCTTCGGGTTTGGGAGTTAAGGGCTTAGGAACAATCTCTGCGAGATGCCCGGGATTTTACGTTGTAGTGTATTTTGGCTTGGGTTGAGAGCTTGGGGTTTTAAACTATCCCAGGCCTACAAGCTCTAATCGGCCGCAACTGACGCCTATCAAGTACAGCTCCAAAATCCGAACTACTTGTTGTCTGCTGGCTTCTCCCTTGCATTCTAAGTACTACTTGTTCACGAATGCCGTCTCACACTACGACGACGACCACCACCGCCGCCGTTGCTACCACCACGACAAGAATAAATCGTACACTAAACAAGACTAGGGAGTCGCTCCTGCTTCCGTCTTTCTAGCGCCCACCAGCCTGGCAACGTAATGTAGGAACCTGATTAAGAAACCTTGGGCCTTTATTCGGGCTCCTTATATGAATCCTACTATTTTGGGGGGGTTATAGGCCCAGGGTTTCTTAATCAGGTTCCTACATTATTACCTATAGTATCCATTGTAGTTCCTTTTTATGGTTAACCAATGTTATGGTCCTGAAATAGAGATTTTGGTTAACCAAAGAAAGGAACTACAATGAAGACTATAGGTATGCTCTGCACACCAGAAACTCGTGCAGCCCAGCCACCAGGCATGAAGGAGCGATCACAAAAGGAGATCTTCCTCTTCCTTGCAGACTAGCAGGACGGTTAGGGCTTAGGGTTTAGGGTTTAGGGTTTGGGGTTTAGGGGTTTAGGGGTTTAGGGGTTTAGGGTTTAGGGTTTAGGGTTTAGGGTTTAGGGTTTAGGGATTTAGGGATTTATGAAGCGGTCATCGGACGATCCAGGCGAGACTGACGCAGGGATCCTTGCTCCAGATACAACACAGGGACGAACTAATTATGAATTACAAGCCAGTCTACGTCGAGCGTAATACCGAGCCCACGTGACTTTGGGACAAGCAAACATTAACGGGCACTCCACAGGCTCCCGGGGAGGCTCAAAGGAGATGGCCACCGCCCGGCTGTACCGTCTGTGTACCCAAAAGATTTCAGAGAGTTTACTCACGTCCGCGCGGACTGTACATGGCGCGATAAGTATCGACGGGACCTCCTCATTGATGCCCCACTGTGACAGCGTTTTGGCACGCGGCATCGGAAAATCAATCCCAGCTTCTTTAAACATGAAGCGCACTACGTTTCTAAACAAGTTTAACTGTTTTGAAAGGAGAGGTCGACACAACTTGAGTTGCGGGTACTCCGTTTCGTGCACAAAACACGCAGGGACATCTGCGACAAGCCCTATGGGCAACTGGGAAGGCTGCCAGGCGGCAACGTTTACCGGAGACAACCACCCGGTGGCGTTTGCAAAATGCAAGTACAGTTCTAGAAGACTAACCCCAGACTCAGTTTTGCACCAAGACTGTCCTAGGCAGTATTGGCGAAAAACCTGGCAAAACCTGGGCCCGAGCAAAGCACTCAGAACCTCAACCCTATCTAAACCTTGAACCGAAACAGGGGAGCCAAGCAAAAGTGGCACACTGCGTGGAGCAACCCGAGGGGCATTTACACCAGTGTCGTCTGCAGTACGTGTTCTGCTTTGGCGTGAACTAGCACAGCAAAGCGTGTGCTGTTGCAATTGAAACACAAGTGTGGCTTGATGGACTTGCGCCTGCAAATCTTGGCGCGCATGCCTGAACAGGGAAAGAGTGACCTCATCCTGCACATGTGCGCTCTTAGCCGTCCGATCAGCAGCATCATTATGGAAAGCAGTCCACTTGTCATGCGCAGTGGTGCACAGATTAGGGTTACGGTGGGACTCAACGTGGTGAATACGAAAACGACCGCTTTTGGATTGGAGAACTTCCGCAATTTCAAACCACAATTCCGGCTCAGCAGCCTTTATCCACCACGAATGAACCCATCCTCTCCGAAGCAAACGCTTAAACCCCAAGACTACCCCAAGATTATCACTGTAGATATCTGCTGCCTCAGCCTGACGCACAGCAACGAAGACTGCAAAAAGTTCTGCACGGAAGTTTGACTGCACCCCTGGTAAACACCCCTTTGCAGCTACCGCGTTTTCGAAGGAATCTGGTTCAGCCAAGATGACTGACCATGCACTCTGCGAAACATGATCGTTACAGTAGGTGGAACCGTCAGTGAAAAGGCAGACATGCCCGTCAAAACATTCTCTCAGATCAGGCAGTGCCATTGAGTTTAGGTTGTTTTCGAGTTCAATTACGGCCTGCGGCGTAGGCCACAAACCCCGAGTTAGGATGGGGAGGGGAAGACTATCCAAAAAACCCTGGGGCAAACCTTCCCGTAGGTGGCAACAGAAAGGGCAGTGCCGGAGCCTATGCAGCTGGCTATCCACCTCACCGCAATGAGTGCATAGAGCTTCAGCATCTCCTAAAAAATGTTTCTTTTGATCTGTGAAGACAGCCGCACCGGCTGTAAAACATCCAACTTGGGCCCAACTGCATTTGGCAGCAGATCTTAGAAACATGGTTTGCCCTATTTCAGTGCCTTGGAGGTCATCTAGACCCTCTTGCAGAGGCAACTTTGGAAGCACAACTCTCCACCAAGAGCCCAAAAACAAACTAAACCCTCGACGGCGACCCAAAAAAGGCAAGTGGACTACAAGACCTTCATCAGTTCGACAATAACCATCCTGTAAGGGCTCCCAACGCAGGAGACGCAAATGCTGGAAAAGGTACGTAAACGGTCCTGCAACTTTCCCTTGTGATTGCAAGACAGCGTTCCACGTTTGGATAACGAAGGAAGGGTTATTACCAAAAAACCGCTGGAAACTAGCAACGCGCCTCTTCAAAATTTCTAAAACGGGCTCGTAGTTAACAGCGCATCCCAACAACGGCCCCAGGAAATGGTTACGGTGGTTTTTCCTACCCCACACAGCCGTGGAATATTTACCTCTTATGGTAGAAAAAGTTGACAATGAGACCGCTGCAAGTTCAGAGCCAAAACTTATGGCGGGGTGAATCACTTTCTGCAGGACTCCAGCTTTGCGGCCAGCAGACCATGGCATCAGTTGCAGTCGACGCAGCTTCGGTTCATTCTGCTCAAGTTTCCGCAAGACTGGCGCAGCTACATGTTGGCGCGCAGCGCCAAAGTCCACCCCTAAATCCCCAACTCTAAGAAGAACATCAAGCTTAAAACCTTGGAAACTAACCCCACGGAGAGCACTTCGGGCACCTGGTGTGGTGGCATACGCGCGTGTCTTCTCGGGGTTGAGAAGTAGTTGAAGGGAAGTTGTGGCCCGACTGACCTGCTGCAAAGCCAGCTGCACAGATGGTATATCTGTGCACTGCAACGACCAGTTGTCAACGTACGTAACACACGTCGTTTCTGGAGATTGTACCAAGTTCATGACAGCCCAAGTGGTGAGGATCATTGCAGGCACGGCTAAAGGACAACCTTCCGGCACTCCAACGCTGCTCGTTACAGGCCCATAGACTCCATCATGTATTTGGAAATACCTATCAAGGTTAGACAAAAAACTGTTGTATGCCACAACTAGCTTGGCAGGCCATCCCGTACGCAAGGCAAACCGTGCGAGAACATCACGGCGGAGGGTGTTATAGGCCTTGGATAAGTCAAGGGACACACCGAAAACATCACGATTTTCCGCAAAGGCGGACTCGATGTTTGCTGCAAGAGTCCATGCGGCATCCATGGAGGATTTACCAGGCACACTCCCGAACAGATGAGGCGGCAGAAAACCTTCCCAATGCTGGAAAATCTTTTGTGTCATAACCTTACCGTACAACCTATACAAGGTGGACAAAATCGTTATTGGGCGTGCATCTTTCGCAGTTTGGGGTTCTTCAACCTTAGAGATCAACGCAACCAGCCCCTTGCACAATTGTTGAGGCCATTGCCCTGTCTCGGTTACCAGATTAAACAGCGAGGCCAGCAGGGCCACATCCTCTAACCCTAAGGATTTTAGTTCCGTATTACTCCAACCATCCATACCCCTAGCCTTGTTGGCGGGCAATTTGTCAATGACTGTCTGCAATTCCTTGGAAGAAATGTGCGGGTCGAAAGGCTCAAGTTCAGGTAAACCCTGTACCAACTCCTCAACGCCTTCCCAGTCCACTTCCCCTTCGGCGTGCCAAAACTTGGCCCAAAAAGCTTTAACATTTTGGTAAACAGCGTCCGGCTGCGCCGTCCACGTTTTTTGTGACACCGATTTTTTATACATATCCACACGCATGGGCTCATGAAGAACCACGTGATCACCAGAAACCCTGGCAACAGTAGCGCATGTCTTACCGAAACACCACTTTGCACCAGGCTGAACAGCATGTAAGCCGTCACGCACGCGAAAAACAGCAGGTTGACCCTTGGCCACTCTCAGCGGGGAGATGCATATCCGCATCTCTTCCGTGATAGAGTCAAATCTACAGGGAGGGGGGTTTTTAATTGCAGCAGCATGTAGTTTGCCACTCATTTTCCAATCCTGCTCAAAAACACCACGATCTTGGGCCCGACGGCGCTGCCTTATCAAAGCCTGCCATCTGCTAACCTCTTGGTCAACCTGCACCACGATAGCCTCAAGCCACTCACAGGGGGGCAGCAGCGAAGGCACGTAAGAAGCAATGTCATTATCTAAAAGCCATTTTGCAAAACCACCCGGGAAATTTCCGTCACGCAGTAGTTTATCCCACAGTTGAAGGCACTCAGCGTGGTTGATGCCCTTCAATCGGAGATGTTGCAGCTGCTTAAGTCGCATAACAGCTTTGAGACGGCCATTGATGGCAACGTGGTCCGTCAGAAGGGAACCGTTTGTCTGCAAAAACCTATGGCCAACTTTTTTATTCACGACTGTCCCCTTAAAACGCCCCAAAAACTTCACAGGCAAGTCGTATCCCAAGATTTCACTATGAATAGTACACAACTTCTTTTCAAAACCTTCCACGAAGTGCGAGAAAGCTGATTGGACGTTGCAAGCTTCAATACAACTAGAAACTAACGACTGGCCATGGGCGTCCATGGAGCAATCACGAAGCGGCTTGTGAAGTGACTCGAGCGTGGCAATATCCATCGGCATTTGCCACTGCGGCACAACGCTCGCGAGCGCAGACCAATCGAAGACAGCATGCAAAACCGCATGATCAGTGAATCCCTGTGGATCTACATGGAAAGACCGCGCAGCTTGGAAAGCGGAATTGTTACAAACAACATAGTCTAAACGAGAAGTACCCCGATACGTCGGCTCAACAGCAATGTTGGTAAGGTCAGCCATACGCTGTCCCAAATCAACATACCCTGCAGACGAGGCTTGATACCAACACCCCAAACTACCAAGGCAGCAATTAAAATCACCTGTAATGATGGTAGGCAAATGCACAGAACCTGCGACTTTAAAAACTTCTGTAAACAAGGACTCATTCAACTCCAAATGGTTAGGGGTCCCAGAATGATAACCATAAACCGCGATGACCCGAACCTGACCACTAGCAAGATTAATCAAGGAATCTGCGATTCTAGTGGTGGCCCAGGTCGCAGCATCCCAAAGGCCGTGCATGGACTTGGCATGGTTGGTAGCACAAATGGCTGCGCCACCTGCTTGTCCTCTACCCGACATTTCCGCACCATTAGCCTGTTTGAAGGAACAAGGCGCAGAAACAGCTAGGTAAGCATTTAGCTTTCGCACGTGTTTGTGCAA